AAAAAAAAAAATCCAAAACAAAATCTAAAAAAACTTTTTAAAGGAAATTATCTTTTATCTTTGATATAGACTGTGAATGTTTTCCCCAGTTTGTTTGCCAATCTTTTCTCTATAGTTTTTGGGTTTAGTTTCATGTTTAAAAAGACCTTCTCCAGTTCAAGATTATGACAAAATCTATCTCAGACTTCTTTGAGTTTTGTACAATTACATTTTGCATTTAAACTTTCCTTCTATCTGGAGTTAATTTTGGTGTAAAGAGGTAAGGGTACAGCTTTATCTTCCCCCTAAAAGAGAGATGTCCCAAATGACATTTATTAAGTAATCCACATTTCCCCCACTGATTTCAAATGCTACTTATATCACATGTGCAATTCACATATGTATTTGGGTCTATTTCTCACTTTCCTATCTGTTTTTTATCTGTCTGTCTACTCCTGCATTATTACCGCATGGGTTATTATACTTTATAGTCTATTTAAAAATCTGTTAGGGGCGCCTGGGTGGCTCAGTTGGTTAAGCGACTGCCTTCGGCTCAGGTCATGATCCTGGAGTCCCGGGATCGAGTCCCGCATCAGGCTCCCTGCTCGGCAGGGAGTCTGCTTCTCCCTCTGACCCTCCTCCCTCTCATGCTCTCTGTCTCTCATTCTCTCTGTCTCAAATAAATAAAATCTTTAAAAAAAAATAAAATAAAAATCTGTTAGAGCTAATTTGCCCTCATTACTTTTACTTTCCAGAGATTTCCTGGACATTCTTTTTTTTCTAAACAGCTTTATTGAGATATAACTCACACAGCGTGCAATTCCTTTTAAAGCATCCAGTGCAACAGATTTAGTATATTCAGAGTGCAACCATCATCGCAGTCAATTTTAAAACATTTTCATCACCTCAAAAATAAACCTCATACCCTTTAGCTTAATTCCCTTATTCCCTGGCTCCTCCCGCCCTAAGCAGCCATTAATCTACTTTCTGTCTCTATAGATTTTCCTATTCTTGGTGTTGCATAATAAATGGGATTATAGAATGTGCAGTCTTTTGTGACTGGTTCATTTTACTTAGCGTAATCTTTTCAAGGTTCATCCATGTTGTGGCATGCATTAGTACTTTATTCCTTTTTTATGGCTGAATAATATTCCATCTCATGGCCACACCTCATTTTGTTTATCCATTCATCAGTGGACATTTGGGTTGTTTCTGTCTGGTAGCTACTGCGAATAATACCGCTATGAACATTCTCATGTTCAAGTGTTTGTGGTGAATGTATGTTTTCAATTCTTTAGTGTATGTCTTAGCAGTGGAATTACTCATATGGTAATTCTGTTTAACTTACTGAGAAAACTCCAAATCGTTTCCCACAGCAGCTGCACCATTCTGCATTTCTACCAGCAATGCGCAAGAGTTCCAATTTCTCCGCATCCTGGCCAAGACTTATTATTTTCTGTTTTAGGGTTTTTGGTTTTGTGTTGTTTTGTTGGGTTTTGTTTTTGTTTTAATTCTAACCAGTCTAGTGAATGTGAGTGTGAAGTGATTATCTCATTGTAGTTTCATTTGTATTTCTCTGATGACTAATGATGGTGAACAACTTTTTATGGGCTTATTGGCCATTTGTATATCTTCTTTGGAGAAAAATGCATATTCAAGTTCTTTTGCTCATTTAAAAAAAATTGGGTTGTCTTTTTGTTATTGAGTTGTAAGAGTTCTATATTTTCCTGACTACTCTTTTTTTTTTTAAGTTTTTTTTGTTTTTTTAAAGTAATCTCTACACCCACAGTGGGGCTTGAACTCACAACCCCTAGATCAAGATTTGCATACTCCACCGACTGAGCCAGCTAGGTGTTCCCTGACTACTCTTACATCTGCATTTTTCCATTTGAATTTCAGTATTGCCTCATCAAAAATGGCTAGCAACTTTTATGTGGCTTACCAGCAAACAAACAAACAAAAAAACAAATGTTCAGCCTGAATCCAGGCCAGATGGACTCTCCCCAAAGTAGATGAAATTCTCCTCAAAGCATCTCTCATTTAAATGACCCAAAAAGATGTGACCGGGTATATTGTGAAGTTGATTTACACCCTTTTTTCGGGTTCCTGGGTGGCTCAGTTAGTTAAACGTCTGCCTTTGGCTCAGGTCATGATCCCGGGGTCCTGGGGTGGGGAACCTGCTTCTCCCTCTCCTGCCCCCCTGCCTGTGCTCTCTCTTTCTGTCAAATAAATAAATAAAATCTTAAAAAAATGAACAAACCCTACTTGTGTGCATACAGCAGGAATGGGTTTTAGCACAGTGTTTTCGTCTAGGCTTGTGATGATGGTGTGTGGATGGGAGTTGTTAATTACTCTCTGGCCTAATTTACTTCGGTGTAGTGCTGACTCAGAGATTAAGGCTGGAGTGGCTCTTTCCAAGATCATCATCCCCAACTGGCCTGAGGTGATTGTTGCTTGATCCGAGGGACTCTTAGCCCTCCTGGGGTTCAGAACCTAACCCAAAATACACTCATAGCCTGACTCACAGCTGCAGATAGGAGTGGTTGCTCGGCTTCATTAGGGAGCAGCGTGGTTTCCTGCACTCTTCAGTCCTTGGGGGGCATCTGAAAGGGAATCAAGCTTTCCTTATGGCCCTTGTTCAGTCCTTGGGGTATCTGAGAGAGAAGTAAGCACTTCTTAGATCAATATTTTCAAGGCTGATCTGATCCAAGCCTCTGCATGGAGGCTTCAACTGAAGATCCACCGTTTTTCCAGCTTTCCTTTCTCCAGGGTGTCTACGCACTTGTACTCCTGTAATAAATGGCTTATATATTTTCCCCCCTAGGAAATCTGTGTGAATGTGTGATTATGATGGGGGAAGAAGGGATAATGATAGATTTAAAACTGGACACCTGTGGTGCCTGTTCCTTTACAACTGAGTCTCACCACACTTTCCTCATCATGGCCCTCACTTAAGGAGTGTTTTTAGACTGTTTTTCCTAATCATGGAATTTTAATACTACGAAATTTTAATACTACAGATATACTATATGCTATTTATGCACTGTGTTTTATACATAAGAATACGATTTTTTGCCCCCTTGGGGGATATGTCTCCCACTGAGGATATGTGCTTCTCAGTAGTTCACAACCACCCCCTTGGCAGCCTCCACCATGTAAAAGGCGGAAGCAGGCGGCTTTGAGGAGTGTGAGCTAATCATGTACATTGTGTTTCACAAAGTGCTTGGTGCATGGTGAGTGCGAAGTGAGAGCCCTTGTTGTTGCCATTATTATTATATTAAGCTTGGTCACAGTGATGTTTGTAACTCCCCTCAGACTGTGGGTTCCCACGGTGCTTGAGGGCTGGCCAGAGGTCCAAGGCCTTCCAACCTGGAGCTCCTACCAGAGGCCCCACCGGATACATAAGGAAGGGACCTGAGCTGGGTGGGGACTGGGGCCACTGGACAGGCGGCGATTCCCTATTTACACGTGACACCTGTTCCCCAGGTACAACCAGGTGTGCCAGGCACGAACAGGGGTCTGGTGGCGTCTGCACTGTCGATTTCTCAGAAGCTGGGCACTGGATTTCTCGTTAAATCTCCTGATTTTTAAGCACTGACTCAATTAAACCCCAACAATTACACTACGTGGACGAAACGAGATGAAGCCAAGTCATACCGACTTGTCCAGGGTTAATCGCATAGCTGGGATTCCAATCCACGTCTTTACAAATCCAGTGATCCCTCCACTCAACCCAGCCTCCCCTCTACCGCTCACGACCCTCCCCACTCCACCCTTCTTGGGGGTGTCCTTCAATGCTTCTCCTTCTGCACCCTCCTGCCTGGGGAAGGGGCCCCAGGCTGGGCCATTCGGGGATTGGGACCAAGGGGTCCAGCTCCCCTGCCCACCACCCGGCCCCCTTCCCAGAAGGATGTGGATTCCGTCTCTGGACGATAAGGTCAGGACCCCAGTCTTACTCACGGGGGGCCGGGAGCGGGGAAGTGGGTCGGTTGTCCCGCGGCGTGAGAACGCAGGGCGGGCGGGCGTGGGGCAAGGCGGGGCGCAGGCGGGGCGCAGGCGACCTCACCATCTCGGGATGAAACGCCCCGTTGTTCGCGCCGCCCCTCTGACCCCGCCACCCTGGGCATTGTTCTCTGTTCGCCCGGGTCGTGGGTGGGAGGCGAGGCACGCAGGGGTTCCCGAGCCTGGCTCGGCGCCAGGCCTGCGGCCTTCGGCCCTGGGGCCACTGGGGCGGCCGCGCCCGGGAGCGGGAGGCGAGCACGCGGGGCCGGGCGACTCAGCCGGTGCAGCCATGGGCTCCCGCGGCTCCCACGCCGCGCGCATTCCCGACGGGGACAGCATCCGGCAGGAGACGGGCTGTGAGCGGGGCGCGGGGGCTCGGACCCGGGGACGCGGGGGGTCCGGAGCGGGGCGGGCTCCAGGGAGCGCCCCGCATGGGGGGAGCGGGAACGCGGGCTCCCGGCGTCCAGGTCCGGTGGAGCCGGGCAGCCAGGTGTCCTCGAGCCCGGCAGGGCGGGGTGGGGCGGGAGGGGGGGGGGGGGGGGCGGGCACTGGTGGCTCGGTCCCCCCCGCGGGAGCGCGTTGTCACGCCCCCTGCAGCCCCGCCGCGCGGGCCCCAGGTCCCCGGCCGGCGTCCCCCCCAGCGGGCTCCTGTCCCCCGCCCGCAGCCCGGGGTCGCCAGGGGAGGGTCCCGCCGCGCGTCCCCCGCGCCCGCGGCCGTGTCACCCTTCCGCCTTCCGTCCCGCAGTCTCGCAGGCCAGTCTGCTCCGCCTCTACCACCGGTTTCGGGCACTGGACAGGAACAAGAAGGGCTACCTGAGGTGAGGGGGCGCTGGCTTCAGGACCTGCCACCTGTCTCTCTGGGCCCATTCCCCTCTTTAACTAACCCTCCGTCTCCCGTCTTTGCCCTACCTACCCTCTTTTGAACTTTGACCTGACAGCCGCGTGGATCTGCAGGAGATTGGGGCGCTGGCCGTGAACCCCCTGGGAGAGCGCATTATAGACAGCTTCTTCCCTGACGGGTGAGGCCCCCCGGGGGTTGGGGCTTGGGGGAGAGTTAGGCACAGAGGCAGAGGGTGACCACTGCCTCTGTTCCCTTCCCCGCAGGAACCTGCGAGTGGATTTCCCAGGCTTTGTCAGAGTCCTGGCTCATTTTCGACCTGTGGATGATGAGGACCCAGGCATGCGAGACCCCAAGGAACCTGAACCCCTCAACAGCAGAATGAACAAACTTCGGTGTGAGTTTGTGGGGACCCCCTCCCCCAGTGAGACCCTGGATATACTGCACCAGGGAGAGGCTCCAGGCACCTCCCTCTCTTCGGGAGCCTCTAGATGACCTCCCTCACACCTCCAGGGTGACCTTCTACTGGAAGAGAACCAGAGAAGACCCACCTTCCCTTCCCCCTCTATTCTCTTCCAGTCGCATTTCAGCTCTATGACCTGGATCGAGATGGAAAGATCTCCAGGCATGAGATGCTACAGGTTAGAAAAACGCAAGGACAAGAGATGTGATGTGTGAAGTGTGGGTGGTTGAAGGGAAAGGTTGTGGGGGGATGGGATGGATGACTGGCCAATGAGGGTGCAGACCACTGGGGTATTAAGCGGGACTCCCGCCTGGGTGGGGTTTAGTTGGGAAATGGAAGGGGGAAGAGTTGGGTGTGAGGTTGGAATTAGATCTTAACTTCTTAACTGGGGGTGATTTTGCCTCCTGAATGCCACTGGCGATATCTAGAGACATTTTTGGTTTTCACAGCTGGGGGAGGGGGCAGCACTACCAGCATCTGGTGGGTAGAAGTCAAAAATGTTGCTAAACATCTTTCAATACACAGGATAGCCCCCTTTCCTCCCACAAGGAGTTACCTGGCCCCAAATGTCAAGAGTGCTGAGATTCAGAAACTCTGCAATAGATATGATGAAGTGGGGGCGGGTGGAATAGGGAATAGTGGGAGGATGAGGTGGGGGGTGGGGTGGAGGATGGAGGGAGGTTGGGTTATAAGATTTGGGGTTGGGTAATGAGTTTGGGCATATTGTTGAGGTGAGTGTGAAGAGAGACAGATGGGGGTTTGAATGGAGAAGTAGTGGGGGAAATTATTGGGGGAATATGGTGGAGAGTGAAAAAAAATGGATGAGGGAGAGATTACAAAATGGGTAATACCATTTGGGATGATGTGGGCAAGATTTGGGGGATGGGGCTAGTACCTCCTCCTTATGGCTGTCCCCTTCCACGCCTCCCAGGTCCTCCGGCTGATGGTTGGGGTGCAGGTGACAGAAGAGCAGTTGGAGAGCATCGCGGACCGCACGGTGCAGGAAGCGGACGAAGATGGGGATGGGGCCGTGTCCTTCCTGGAGTTCACCAAGGTCAGAATGCCTTGGGGCCTGGGGAGTTGACATCACGAGTCCCTAGGACAGATGGACATGGGAAAGGAAGTTGGAAGGAGGTGGGCAGAAGGATCCGGGTCGCCAAGGAAAGGTGGGGCTTTGGGAATGGGAGAGGTGGTTGGAAGCCTAGAGGACTGAACTCTTGACTACCTCCCATCTCCCCCCACCAGTCCTTAGAGAAGATGAACATCGAGCAGAAAATGAGCATCCGGATCCTGAAGTGACCCCCTTTGTGCCTTTGACTAGCTTACACAGACCAGTTCAGCCTGGGATTTATCTTCAGCCCCCCAAGGGGCAGGGCCCCCATAAACTGTATTTTTGTGTCTATGCTAAACTCTGTTTAGGACCAAGGAGAGAAAGCCAGAAGGGTGTGTACTAAATAAAGTCTAGCTCATTTGATCTCAGATTTGTCAATCAGCCAGCAATCTTCCGGTTGCCAGAGACTGAAAACCCAACTTATAGTGCCTTGAGTAAAAAAGGGATTTTATGGGCTCATGTAATTAAAAAGTTTGAAAGTGTCTTTAGAATGCTGGAAAAGTCTGGAAGTGTCCTCAGGCACAGTTAGATTCAAAGTGCTCACACAATGCTATCAGGACTCAGTGATTCATTTCTCAATCGGCTTTCTTTCGTGTCGGCTTTATTCTCAGGAGGGCTCTTTCCCCATGGTGGAGGATGGCCACCAGAAGCTCCAGGCTTCCATCCTACTAGCCTAGTAATCCAGTGGGAAGGGATTTCCTTTTTCAGTAATTCTGAGCTAAGGGTGTCATTAGCCTGAGTGGGTTCTTGTCCCTAGCTCCAAGGGAATGGAGTGCTCTAACTGACCCAGCCTGTGTCATGTGCTAACTGCTAAAGCCTGAGCACTCAGGGTGGGGTAAGGAGTAGCTGTTTACAGGAAAATGAGGTGTCATTATCAGAAAAAAGGGGAATGATGCCAGTTGGGCAAAACAAGAGATATCCATTACTGTTAGGTTGACCCAACTGCGGGGGGGGAGGGGGGAAGAATTCTTGAAGTCTGACTTTTTAAATGGGTTTTCACCGATTCTGTGGGTGCACACCAGGGGGATGGGGGTGGGCAGGTGGGGGCACAGATGATATAAAAGTAATAAACAAGACATACTTTCCCAGGACATGACATTATTCAAAGACTTGGAGAATAATTCCATTTTTTTCACGGTAAGATGTTCAAACATTGCTATATCACAGAATAGAGGGTAAAAGTCGCATAAAATTGTGAGATCTTATGTCTACAGCAAAATGCTCTCGCTGTGCCTATGGGAGATGCTGTTGGTACCCTGCCCATTCTCTCCTACCAGCGCTGTGCTGGAGCTCTCTTACGTCAACACATGGGAGGCAAGCATGCTTCTGGCTTCCGTCTGTGCTTTCAGTGATGTTACGTTGGTAGCTTGGGTTGGCTGTGGCGGGGATATTTACACCAAGGACATTGGTAAATGCAATAGACCAGGGCTTTTCTGCTTAGGAGAGCCTGTTGTTAAACATTTAGCAGCACACCACCTGCTCAGCATTCACCATTCCTGTATGTGTTGGTGGCTTCCATTTTACCCCAGCTTTATTGTATCGTAATTGGTGTGCAAAGAACTGCACATAATTGATGTATACAATGTGATGAGTTTGGACATAGGTATACATTCATGTTACCATCGCCATGATCAAGTAATAAACATCCATCATCTCCAAAAATTTCCTTGTATCACTCTGGTACTTGTGTGTGTGTGTGTGTGTGTGTGTGTTTAGAACACTTAACATGAGATCTACTGGCTTAACAAATTTTTTTAAGGATTTTATTTATTTGAGAGAGAGAGAGAGAACAAGAGGGGGGAGGGGCAAAGGGAGAGGGAGAAGTAGACTCCCCGCTGAGCAGGGAGCCCAATGCGGGGCTTGATTCCAGGACCCCGAGATCACAACCTGAGCTGAGGGCAGATGCCTAACCCACTGAGCCACCCAGGCGCCCCTGGCTTAACACATTTTTAAGTGTACAACACCAAATTGTTAACTATAGGCACAGTGCTGTAAAGAAGATCTCTGGAACTTACTCATCTTGGATAACTGTACCTTTATCCCCATTGAACAACAGCTTCCCTTATCGCCCCCCCTCTTGCCAAAGACCGTTCTATTATCTACTTCTATGCACTTGACTCTTAGATGCTTCACATAAGAGGAATCATGCAATATTTGTCTTTCTGTGACTGACATGTTTCCTGATGGTATTTTATATCTGAATAAAGTTTAGACCTCAAATAAAAAAAAGGGGGGATACCTGATTGCCTCTCTTGGTAGAGCATGTGACTCTTGATCTCAAGATCATGAGTTCAAGCCCCATGTTGAGCATAGAGATTACTTAAAAAAAAATTCAGACTCTTTGGCCCCATTTGAGAGCTCCTGAGTCTACAAGGAAATCTATATTTTTAGTACATGATTCTGATGTTGGAGGCTGAAGGACCAGACTTTTAGAAACACTTACTGAAAGCTTCTGGCCAGACCCCTAGTGACAGCTCTCCATAAGAAGTTCTCCAACAGGGCGCCTGGGTGGCTCAGTTGGTTAAGCGACTGCCTTCGGCTCAGGTCATGATCCTGGAGTCCCGGGATCGAGTCCCGCATCGGGCTCCCTG